ATTTTGTAATATATTATAAAGTGCACACTTCAAAATAATTTACTTTAACAAGCAGACTCTCTCACTCGCTTACCTTGGGGTGGGGTAGTGTGTTAATTAGTAACGGTTACTAATTGACGACACATAGAGGCCGCAGAATTATGAGGACTGGTGGAACCTAAGCGATCCATGATATCACGACAGGCCCTATTAGTAACCCTCGTGATGACTGTATTAGTGTATTACATAAAGTGGTTAAGAAAAATATAGCTATTATATTAACGTACCTTAGTTGCGCAAGGTACAGACTACAGCCCTACATTTTACTCGGATTACCGTAACTGGTTCATTATTTGGTCAAAATTTCGCTGTGAATAGTAGTTAAACTATGTAATATCAATCCTAAAAGTCCACCGTCAGGTGACTTATTTCAAACTAATTTAGCAGGATCAAAGTTGCACTTTAACGCTCTGTGATCGCTAAATTACAGCAGGCATTAGTGATTACAGCAGTCAGCGAAGCATGCAATGAGATCTAAATGCTCTTATTTTACTAATGACTATCTAATAAGCTGATAACGTGGCTAGACAAAAAGTAAACTCATTAATATGACAGATGCCACAAAAGAGTGTTAGAAATCTAGATTAGAGCTCGTTTTTCTGGTGCCTGTCATTTTTGTAGGTAAACTTGGCGGCGTACAGTTTCAAATTTAGAATGGTAGATAGTAATTATTTTCTTGGCAGCTGTGCTGATGTTATGCACCGAAACATGTCGTACAGAAGGAGTTTTTCCTTGTCCTGGAAGGGGTTGCTATGGTACAGCTGCACTCTGCAGGGTGTCGTTATTATTGGAAAGACATTTAGCTTGTACCCAAGCAACCATAACATAGCTCCTTCAGGCTCTATTTCAGGCTAGTTAGCTAGTTCTAATTTTCTAATCAATGAGTTATAGCAACAGTTACTATGGTTACTATGGTTACTATGGTTACTATGGTTACTGTATTAGGTACTCAGACTCTGAAGCTGGTGGGCTAAGCTGTGAGATAGTTTAGGACTAGCCTGTACCAAAAATGGAAAAGTTTGTTCAAATTTAATTAACGTTGGCCAAAAGTTGTGTTGGGTTTACTAGTACTCTAGTAGTAAGCCACGCATTTAGTGGAGGCCTACTCCATTATCTTACCATGAGAAATTTTGTTCAGGACTGTTATATTAATAATAATATAAGTTCAGTGCACAATACAGTACACAGTACACAGTACACAGTACACAGTACACAGTACACAGTACACAGTACACAGTACACAGTACACAGTACACAGTACACAGTACACAGTACACAGTACACAGTACACAGTACACAGTACACAGTACACAGTACACAGTACACAGTACACAGTACACAGTACACAGTACACAGTACACAGTACACAATACACAGTACACTGGTACACTGGTACACTGGTACACTGGTACACAGTACACAGTACACAGTACACTGGTACACTGGTACACTGGTACACTGGTACACTGGTACACAGTACACAGTACACAGTACACAGTACACAGTACACAGGACACAGGAGACAGTACACTGATACACAGTACACAGTACACAGTACTAGGAACCGACCGGAACGGCTTTTTTGCTGCCGGACCGGACTGGACCGGATCTCAATAAAAAATCCGGCATGCCGGACCGGACCGGACCGGATACCGGATTCGGGCTCTTATTTAAAGGCTCGCCGGATTATACCGGATTTCAAACAGTTGCTGCACGATAATTTCGAATATAGTATCTAGATATATATTATACCATGTCGTTAAACTTAGGAACAACAAAATCAAACTCGATTTCACCCCCTGACGAGCTGGCGCCTGTGCGCCGTGCACGTGCAACAAATATAGCAACAATGAGCTCAGACTTGGAGTCTCCAACCTCTGCACAACTTGGCTTCAGACTGTCTGGCGTTTGTGAACATTTTGCGCGAGGCGAGTATCTAAATTAATCTGCTGAGACTTAGTGTCTCGTCTAAACTGCTGTAGGGCGACAGTCAGCCGGGATCGCTAAGGGGATGATATTTTGATAGTAAAATAGTAGTAAAGTTATAAAAAATATAAGTTCACTCGATAAAAATAGGAATGAATTTAAAATCCGGTTCTGGCTAAAATCAGCATTAAAACCGGACCGGACCGGATCAAAAACGGCCGGATACCGGACCGGACCGGATTTTCGGTCGGTTCTTACACAGTACACAGTACACAGTACACCAGAAGCCAAACATTTAGTGGAGGCCTACTCCATTATCTTACCATGAGAAAGTTTGTTCAGGACGGTTATATTAATAATAATATAAGTTCAGTGTACACAGTACACAGTACACAGTACACTGTTACACAGTACACAGTACACAGTACACAGTACACAGTACACAGTACACATTACACATTACACAGTACACAGTACACAGTACACAGTACACAGTACACAGTACACAGTACACAGTACACAGTACACAGTACACAGTACACAGTACACAGTACACAGTACACAGTACACAGTACACTGGTACACTGGTACACTGGTACACTGGTACACTGGTACACTGGTACACTGGTACACTGGTACACAGTACACAGTACACAGTACACAGTACACAGTACACAGTACACACACACGCCACATCACGTGATTGTTTATTGTAGACTGTACAACATGAACAACACTTGCAGGAAGTAGTAACACTAATAAAACACGGAGAAGAAGCCCTGTACCGACAGTTTGTTTACAACTAACCCACAACTAACACTACTAAACTCCCAACTAACACTACTACTACACCACAACTAACACTACTACACCCACATTTAATACTACTACACCCACAACTAACACTACTACACTCCCAACTAACACTACTACACTCCCACTAACACTACTACACTCCACAACTAACACTACTAAACTCCCAACTAACACTACTACACCCACAACTAACACTACTAAACTCCCAACTAACACTACTACACTCACAACTAACACTACTAAACTCCCAACTAACACTACTACACCTACAACTAACACTACTACACCTACAACTAACACTACTACACTACCAACTAACACTACTACACTCCCAACTAACACTACTACACTCCCAAATAACACTACTACACCTACAACTAACACTACTACACTCCACAACTAACACTACTACACTCCCAACTAACACTACTACACTCCCAACTAACACTACTACACTCCACAACTAACACTACTACACTCCACAACTAACACTACTACACCTACAACTAACACTACTACACTCCTTATTATAATGTCTGAGCTGGTCCACGTGGTCCTTACCCAAACTGTGGCTCTATCTAGGCAGGAATCCTAATTTTACTGTCCTTCATTGCACTGTTTGTGCTAATTAATTTTTGGGTACCGGGTCATCCTGGTTACCCTGCTATGGGCCGTTCCCCTGGCTTATACAGGTCTAGTTGACCCATATATATATACCAGGATGGCCCGGTATATATATATTACACTGTTTGTATTCTAACAGCATGGCAAATCTAGTAAACTATTTCACTAGTGTACATTGTCATTGTTAAAGTTACTTAGAAACTTAACACCGCTTATAATGTTTTATATAATACATGTACTGAGTTGTAAGTTCGCCCCATGAAATAACTGACTTGTTACAAAATAGAGGGGTAATTATGTAGTTATCACACAATATAAATAGTTCGTGATTTTGAGTGCAAGTGAATGTGTGTGTGACATTTAGAACCTGCAGTGCCTCTATAAGTACTTAATAAGTATTTAACATACACATTTCTATAACATACCACACATACCACACATACCCAGGGGACCTGCCCAAGAAACCGTTTATGTATAGCTCCACACGAGAGAAGTCAGGTAGTCGGGTACTTTTCCACACTTTCACTACATTTCTAGTATCTGGTTACATTCCTGCTTAGTGCCATGAGGGCTGTGCACTGTCTCCCCAGGCTAATGTGCTGTAGTCCAGGTTAAACTTACTCTCAGTTAAAAATATGATAAAGAATTTAAGAACATGATGTAGTTACATTGAAATGTTGACCAGTTTCCTTTACCTGAAAAATAGCAGTTTCCCTTGGTTGCATGTACAGAATTATCAGAAATTTTGCTCTCTAAACATCTCAGTCATAAATATACACTACACTAAATTGTCACCATTCAGCGCGTTTTAACATTGTGGCCATGCATTGCACAAACTTGGTATCCCTGTGTAGGAAAAACTGTCGGCTATTCGATTAAATTGGTGGGAAATTATTCGAAGACCAGCGAATGGAGGGCACTCCCTAAAAATGTGCTATAAATGTGCAACATGTGCTAAAAATGTGCTAAATGCACATGTGGGTTATGGAATATGGAGTTAGATGTTTAGCTTCTTTATTTCTTTTACATTCTTTTAATTTTTATTGATCATGGACAATGTGTCTAATCGATTATTCACAAAGCGAATTTATAAAATTAAACAGTAAATATATGTTTCTGTGGGGTTAAAATCAGTTTCTTTATGTTGTGTATGTGTACAGAAACAGCTCAAGTTTAGAAATACAGTGTGTATTCTGTAAAATGTATATGGGATAATGTATATGGAATATTGGAATAATGAACATGGGATGTAATGCATAAAAAGTACACGATACAATAGTGGTACAATAATGTGCGATTACAACATTTGTATGTATCGACTACGTCTCCTAGTCATAGTAGGTGTATTACATAATCATACATCCTGATATTACGGTATTAAAACAGAATAGGAAGTAAAATAACCCTGCTAAACATTCCCTTTTCTGTTGATAGGTGAAAATTCTGTTTTCCTCCACTAGCGAGCTCAACAAATGAAACAAGCAGTTAACCATTAATTCATTTGTTGAGCTCGCTAGTGGAGGAAAAACAGAATTTTCACCTATCAACATTACGTCATGCGACTCTTAAACCCATCTTATTCCCTTTTCTTTCAGAGCCATTATGTGGCTGTACTGTCAGACGGGAATGGAAGCAGGGCTCAAAGAGGAGTTCATATTTTTCGAGTGTTTACTGTTTGGAGCTCTCATATCAGCCACTGATCCAGGTATATAGGGCTGAGTACTTGAAATGTTAGAATGTGAATTCTATTTTTCAGAAACTAGTTATTTAGTCTTTACTAGAAGTTTTAAATTAATAACTTAATAATGAGGATAAAATACATTGCTATACGGAATGTGTGGGAAACAGTTTAACCATAGAATTTGTAGTTCGCATATTCTACATTCTTACAGACAACGCTGAATTTCAAACTTACATTATTAACCGACACGTCATCTTACTAGTTTCTTCATGGAATTTCTACGGTGCATTGTTTCTTGCACTGGAACAAACCCCTTGAATCTGAGAGCTGAGTTATATTATCTAGATCCATCTTCACATTTAATCAGTTAAACGATTCTATTATTGCTCGATTACGATTGTGATACGAACACTCTTTCTCTATTGTGTATAATCTAATTATTACGGAGGACAACAGTTCGATCTTGTGTTATGTTACCGTATTAATTGTTAAATGTATTTATTGGGAGCACACCTGCGCTTCGTTTAATAAGGTCTACTCATATTTCGGTTGGAAGGCGCGAAGAGGCTGATTATAGATTTTCCGCGCAAAAAAGCATGTGGTTCAATAAAACGCGCGCGCGATCAATCCGGCCCGGTATATTACTTCAACATTCAATATATGTTGATATATTCAATAATACATTGAATATAATATTCAATAATACATTGAATATAACTGATAATAGATCGACGGCATCCAAACTAAAAACTTTCCTAAATCTTACATTTCAACTGTTACAAAGATTGTCACCTCCTTTAAAAGCCGCAGAGGATTAACTTTCCCTATTTCAGTAACTGTACTGGCGTTATTTTCTGAGCTGAACGTGGATGTTGACCTGTACGCTCTTATCTTTGGAGAGTCAGTAATGAACGACGCTGTCGCTATCGTCTTGTTCGAGTGAGTGTGGTACTGTTTTTGTAACTAAGTAACTAGATAATATTTATATAACTCATGTAAATATATAATTAGTGCAATAAAGTTACCTACTAAATGCATGGCTAGTTTACATGTTGAAAAGCTAATTAACTAATTACTGACTTTTAGCTAATTGACTAATTACTAGTTTACAAGCTAATTTCCCCAGGTCAGTGCTATCGTATGCGCCCTACAGGAACGCTTCATTTAGTGCCGTAGGATTCTTATCCTGTGTGGGACAATTCTGTCTCACTTTCTTCGGCTCCTTCTTCATCGGAACTGTCGTGGGTAAGTGTTACTAATTGGATTAATTGGGTTAATTGGGTTAATTGGGGCTCTTGTCAAACGGGACAAATTGAGCTTAAAGTGTCACAATTGAATATTTATCGGTTGCTCACAATATCTACCAATCAGTTAACTAAGTTTGCTGACTAATAAATTAACTGTTAGGTCTGATAACAGCTATGATAACTAAGTTAACACGACTCTGTGATTTTCCCGTTTTGGAGACATCTCTCTTCACCCTGATGAGTTACTCTTCCTTCCTTCTCTCTGAGGCTGCTGGTTTTACTGGTACGTCATATTACGTCATCATACGTCAGTACTCAGTATACGTCATTATACGTCATTATCATCATCATAAACTTCATAGACAGAAGGATTTGAGTTTAAACTAGGCTATCCATTATCGGTATGAAATTTTTTATCTAGATAAACAGATAAAGATTTAGGTTTTATCTAGATAAAACCGATAAAACCGATAATTTTCTGCTGAAGGCCAAAGCCAAAATGTTTTCCAAATTTCACAAAAACTAATTGTCGAGCTTTATGACTGTTTTACCAGTAATCTTGGTAAAGTACCACTTCCTTTCTTTTGAAAATACTAGAGCATCAGTTTTCTTCTCCGGGGAACAGTTGTGCACCAATTCTTTTTAAAATACTAGAGCATCAGTTTTCTTATCCTAAGAACAGGGGTGAACATTCTCCAGAAAACAGTATTTTCCTTCTCCTAAGAACAGTAGTGCACCAGTTCTCTTCAAAACAGTAGACCAACGGTTTTCTTCTCCTAAGAACAGTAGTGTACCAGTTCTCTTCAAAACAGTAGACCGCCGGTTTCCTTCTCCTGAGAACATCAACAACAAAGACAAAATACAAGGGCAGGTCTCTCCCGAACGGTGGGTTGGCCTGAGGTGCTTATTTCCTTTTCAGTAACCCTAAGCCACTCTGTGCCGAGGCACTATACTAGCTGTAGGGGGGTTAGTCCTACGAGCCAGAGAGTGTGTATCACCAGCCGAAGCTGTACCAAATCACAGCTTGGTAACTGGCCGACTTGCATCCGACCGGATTTGAACCCGGGTCTTCTGCTTGGGAGGCGATCGCAGATCGTGTTACCACTACACCACCCTGAGAACATTAACGCACTATTTTTCTTCAAAACAGTAGACCAACGGTTTCCTTATCCTGAGAACAGTAGTGTACTACGTACCAGTTCTCTTCAAAACAGTAAAGCATTTAAAGTGATTCAGTGAACCGTTTCCTTATCCTGTGGATAACTTGGAGCAACAGATTCCTTCTCTTGAAGACAATGTTTCACCCCCAGAACACGTCCGGAATTCAATTGAGTGCCCTGCCGGTATTTTGACTTCTGTTAACAGTACCATGCTTGTGCCCGTCTCTAGAATGGTTGTAAGGTAAAACGCCAGCACCCTCTAGAGAACAATGTCAATAACCTTCTCTGGATTTCTGCAGTTCATACAGTTCTACAGTATACAAATGTAAATAAACCTCTTAAGCTCACATCCAAGTAAACTACCACTTCTATCATACTAGAAGACATTTGGGACTGTTTCTTGGATAACTTGGGAACAGAGAGAGGCAAAACTACTAATATTTCTTTTAAATTTCACTGTATTGTGGCAGTATTTTCGGTAATTTCTAGTGAATTTTTATACCGATAAAAATATATTTTATCTAGATAAACAGATAACTTTTTTAAACGAATTATCGGAGATAATTATCGGTTACGATTATCGGAGTGGATAGCCTAGTTTAAACTTCCATCAAATAATACAGAATATACAACATGGAGACTTGAATGAATTTAAATGGCGACAAGAATGTTTAAGCTGGGAAAATATCCATCAACTTTTTGTTTCTAGTTAATACTTGAAGATATTGTACGTGCTTCTACCAAACCCTGCATTCCAGGCATTGTGGGTATCCTCTTCTGTGCGATAACACAAGCTCACTACACCTCCCGTAATCTCTCTGTGGAATCAAAGCAGCGCGTGTTCGAACTGTTTGAAACACTGAACTTTCTGGCTGAGAACTCGTGTTTCCTACATCGGACTGTTCTTGTTCACGTACGATGGTCACGAGTGAGACCTGGATTTATTGTGTGCTCATTCCTTGCTATCGGTAAGATACGGGATATTGTATTTAATCATAGCTAATAGTTTATTATTAGTCAATTAAAGAGTCATTATTATACGTGCTCATTCCTTGCTATCGGTAAGATACGGGATATTGTATTTAATCATAGCTAATAGTTTATTATTAGTCAATTTAATTAAAGAAATGATAATATATATTTACCAAATGAAAGTAAAAAATAACAACAAAGACCCAAACCGGACCATATCATTTTCAGCTGTAGCCCGTCTAGTGAATGTGTTCCCCTATCGGGACTACTAAACTTAAACCTCCGCCAGAAGATACCCTGCAAGTTCCAACTCATGATGTGGTGGGCAGGTCTGTGGCTATTGAACTTACTATTTATTTTAACTTATAAATAACTTATGAATAACTTATTATTTGTTTATCATTGGCCTTGTGGAATCAATTTTGTCAATGCTAATTAGGTGTTATATAGTAATATAGTAGTATAGTAGTATCGCCAGATACCCGTTCAATTTGTAACGGAGTTTTATGTTAACAGGAAACGATGTAACAGAGTCAATATATTTTGATGTTGCCATGGGGTGGCAAGTCCCCATACATCGTAGTCCGATAGTTTCGCTGCGTCGTTTACTGTTAACATAAAAATCTGTTACAAATTGAACTGGGATCCACATTCAGGAGCTTTTAGATTGCAAAGTAAGGAATTAATGTAATTTAATCAATATTTTTTGTTTGTTTTGGAAAATTGCAATTAATTATTATATATATAAATCAAACGTCACATTCAGCCATGCAAAATTACAATGACATATTTTGATATACTAATTGATAAATGGTAACTGCAATATAAGTTGCTTATTGTGTGGCTGGATGACAAGTGACAACAAACTACACTAGAAAAATATACTTGATAATATAATAATTAATTCGGCTGAACCAACACATAGCAAGAGCCACATTAACATTGGGGCCGTCATATTGAATACTACAAGTGTAACCCGTGCCTACGGCCGGGACTTCACTATCACAGTTGAATTGCAAAATTATAAACGGTGCAAAATTTAAAACAGTGCACAAGCATGAACTCGCTCAGTCGAAACCGCTGCATTTGAGTTAATTTAATTCTGAGCGCCCAAAACGTATCCAATTTTTTTAAAATGTGCTTATTGGCTTCGTCAGAATTTTTGTCGAAACTATACGAAAAAAACCAATCCCTTAACTCTTAACCGTTTTCTTGAATAAGCCGTTCGGAAATTACACACGTGCAGTTGTCAGGTCTCGTGATTACGTTTTCGTTGTCACGTGACCATCCTGAAGACGTGCTCACGTGTCAGTTATATAGTCAAGAGGTATTTTGTGATATGTAGCGCACGTTATTGCTAAACAGTGCCCGGCCCGGAGGCATGGTATCGTGAAAAATGTCAGCAATGTCAGAAATGGTGCCTTACAGTGCAGGATGCATTCTGAGTTTCTCCCAAGGTTTCGTATTTTCTTAATTCGAATTGCGAGTACTCGAGTAGACACTAAACTGTCAAGAAGATACTAAATTTGTAATTTGATAACTCAAATTTGCATTTTACATCTGACGACTGACACTGACTGCCGTTTCAATTCTCAGTCACTGCAGCTTTTTGAGAACATTTATCGTGCTTGGTGTTAACGCGGGTACGTAATTTAATTAAAATACAAGACACAGAGTTATTGGTATTTTAACGAAGTTTACATGTGGTCGGAATCTACGACCTGCAACCATATCCTAAAGTAACCTAAAGAATTGTTAAGCTCTTGTCAATCGGGACAAATTGAGCTTAAAGTGTCACAATTGGATATTTATCGGTTGCTCACAATTTCTACCAATCAGTTAAATAAATTAACTGTTAGGTCTGATAACAGATATGATAACTAAGTTAACACGACTCTGTGACTAATAAATTAACTGTCAGGTCTGATAACAGCTATGATAACTAAGTTAACACGACTCTGTGATTTCCCCGTTTTGGAGACATCTCTCTTCACCCTGATGAGTTACTCTTCCTTCCTTCTCTCTGAGGCTGCCGGTTTTACTGGTATGTCATACTATTACGTCATCATACGTCATTATACGTCATTATGCGTCATTATGCGTCATTATGCGTCATTATCATCATCTTAAACTTCATAGACAGAAGGATTTGATTTTAAACTTCCATCAAATAATACAGAATATACAACATGGAGACTTGAATAAATTTAAATGGCGGCAAAAAAAGTTTAGGCTGAGAAAATGTCCGTAACTACCTACTTGTTTCTAGTTAATACTTCCCCCATACTTGAAGATATTGTACGTGCTTCTACCAAACCCTGCATTCCAGGTATTGTGGGTATCCTCTTCTGTGCGATAACACAAGCGCACTACACCTCCCGTAATCTCTCTGTGGAATCAAAGCAGCGCGTGTTCGAACTGTTTGAAACACTGAACTTTCTGGCTGAGAACTTCGTGTTCTCCTACATCGGGCTGTTCTTGTTCACGTACGATGGTCACGAGTGGAGACCTGGGTTTATTGTGTGCTCATTCCTTGCTATCGGTAAGATACGGGATATTGTATTTAATCATAGCTAATAGTTTATTATTAGTCATTCCTTGCTATCGGTAAGATACGGGATATCGTATTTAATCATAGCTAATAGTTTATTATTAGTCAATTAAAGAGTCACTATTATAACTATTCATAACAGTTTATTATTAGTCAATTTAATTAAAGAAATGATAATATATATTTACCAAATGAAAGTAAAAATAACAACAAAGACCCAGACAGGACCATATAATTTCAGCTGTAGCCCGTCTAGTGAATGTGTTCCCCCTATCGGGACTACTAAACTTAAACCTCCGCCAGAAGATACCCTGCAAGTTCCAACTCATGATGTGGTGGGCAGGTCTGTGGCTATTGAACTTACTATTTATTTTAACTTATAAATAACTTATGAATAACTTATTATTTGTTTATCATTGGCCTTGTGGAATCAATTTTGTCAATACTAATTAGGTGTTATATAGTAATATAGAAGTATAGTAGTATCGCCAGATACCCGTTCAATTTGTAACGGAGTTTTATATTAACAGGAAACGATGTAACAGAGTTAATATATTTTAATGTTGCCATGGGGTGGCAAGTCCCCATACATCGTAGTCCGATAGTTTCGCTGCGTCGTTTACTGTTAACATAAAACTCTGTTACATATTGAACTGGGATCCACATTCAGGAGCTTTTAGATTGCAAAGTAAGGAATTAATGTAATTTAATCAATATTTTTTGTTTGTTTTGAAAATTCAATTAATTATTATATATATATAAATCAAACGTCACATTTCAGCCATGCAAAATTTACAATGACATATTTTGATATACTAATTGATAAATGGTACTGCAATATAAGTTGCTTATTGTGTGGCTGGATGACAAGTGACAACAAACTACACTAGAAAAATAAACTTGATAATATAATAATTAATTCGGCTGAACCAACACATAGCAAGAGCCACATTAACATTGGGGCCGTCATATTGAATACTATAAGTGTAACCCGTGCCTACGGCCGGGACTTCACTATCACAGTTGAATTGCAAAATTATAAACGGTGCAAAATTTAAAACAGTGCACAAGCATGAACTCGCTCAGTCGAAACCGGCTGCATTTGAGTTAATTTAATTCTGAGCGCCCAAAACGTATCCAATTTTTTTAAAATGTGCTTATTGGCTTCGTCAGAATTTTGTCGAAACTATACGAAAAAAACCAATCCCTTAACTCTTACCGTTTTCTTGAATAAGCCGTTCGGAAATTACACACGTGCAGTTGTCAGGTCTCGTGATTACGTTTTCGTTGTCACGTGACCATCCTGAAGACGTGCTCACGTGTCAGTTATATAGTCAAGAGGTATTTTGTGATATGTAGCGCACGTTATTGCTAAACAGTGCCCGGCCCGGAGGCATGGTATCGTGAAAAATGTCAGCAATGTCAGAAATGGTGCCTTACAGTGCAGGATGCATTCTAGTTTCTCCCAAGGTTTCGTATTTTCTTAATTCGAATTGCGAGTACTCGAGTAGACACTAAAACTGTCAAGAAGATACTAAATTTGTAATTTGATAACTCAAATTTGCATTTTACATCTGACGACTGACAGCCGTTTCAATTCTCAGTCACTGCAGTTTTTTGAGAAAATTTATCTTGCGTGGTGTTAACGCGGTACGTAATTTAATTTAAAATACCAGAGAACAAATTACTTGAGTATTTTTAACGAAGTTACACGATGGTAGTGGAATCTACGAATGCACACAATTTACTCTCTTTGAAACCCGTGCCAAGCCGAAAGAATTTAAGCAACTTGAATTAAATTCTCATGCGGCAAAGAAAATAGATAAAATAAGGAGTGACTACTGCTTTTATTTTCTAATCTGCGTCTATTTATACGGACAACTATATTATGTTAATTTATTGTGATTATGTGTTATGCCTCATATATTTTTCTTCTAAATTGGTTCATTGGCTGTTAATTTATTGGGCGGTGTGAAATGTGAATAGTTTTGACTAATAAACCTTCACCGTCATATTGCTGAGGAATCTAAACTTGTATAGTTCTTCCTTTTCTATCCCCTCCTTAACCCTGAGGACCAAGGAAGTGATTTCCACCACAATTAGTAGAGTGTTTTAGTCCGCTTTCTTATTTAGAACATGTTGACAATACCCGAGCAAAATGCCAATATTAAGAGATAATTAACTATTGATGTACTGGAATAGACCCCGGTCATTGACGACAGGATCCCCGGTATTTGACGACAGGGTCCCTGCTTGCTCGTTGTTTGTGGTAAGTGGGGTAGGACTCGATTTGACCTGTTCCTCATTGCAGGGCTGAACAGTTTCATCTGCGTTAAGGTTACCTGTTCTTGCGTTGAAGTCCCCAACTAGATGTATCGCGAATATCAAGTAACAGGTCACATATTATGTCGGTAACAGGGGCCAGAAATTATAAAATACTTATTTTCATGGTAATGAATAACAATATTCCATTCAACAGTGGCATTATACATATTGCTTGTCGAGTTCTTCTTCTTATTGGTTGGAGTCGACTGTAAGCCACTAAGCCTGCATGTACGGTGGCTTTCACAACGCGTCCCTACGTCTTCAATTCCTGCTGCTGGAGAGAGACTCCCAAACAATATACCATATTCATGTTAATCATATAGATATTAGATATAGGCAACAGACTCCTGGAGTCTTGAAGCTTTGTTACCACCACCCCTGGTGCAACCCAATCGGTTTAGGACGGAGAAACAGGGACTTCCAGGAGCGGTTCGTGTCCTACTCTTTGCAACTCGTATGACTGTTAGTTTTCTGCGGAAGGTGTTATTTGCCTGCGGGAAAGAGCGGTTTTGCTGCGGTTTTAGGGTAAGTAATGGCTACTAGAGCCTTTCCTTCTTTCCTTTGTAGTAGAGATGGCTAGTCGTTTGAGCCTCCTATCCCATACCGCGTGGAGGCTCGGCGAGGTTTTCGAATTTTCCTGGGGCTGCTTGTCGAGTTATTAGTGCTTTTTTCATTTTGTTTTGTCTGGTTAGAAGTTGATATAACAATGAACAATGAATATGGTAATTAGATCATCAGATGGTAATTAAAGGGAACAATATTCGCCCCCGTTAATGCTCTCAGTACGTTAATATCAGTTTGTATAAGGTAACTTACAACATAACAGTGGTATTACTATCACTATATCACGTGATATTTGCAGATCTGAGTAACTAGAGGACTCTTTCGGGAGCTGTTCTAAAGACATGGTCTTGTAAACGTGTCCTCTTGTTTCTTTACAAAACGGTCTATGAACTGCAGGTCTTGGACTCTATTTATCTTTTCAAACCAGCTGCCACAACACCCTGTTACCTGTAAAATTGAACTAAGGAAAGTTTACTATGTCTCTGGATACTTTTGCAGCATTGTTTCAGAAACTTTTAAACTTTAAAAAGTAGACAGATGATAACTCTTTTATTTCTTCGCTAAATCAATATACCGACAGCTGTCAGTTAGTACTAATAATTCACCTTCAAAGACTTTAAGTTTAACACCCCTTAGACGTAGGACGGCTTCCGTTAATAGGCCTAGGCCAGGCTATCCAGATTCCAGAAAAATGGAAGCCCTGTATAATAGGACGGCTTCCACTTTTTAGTCTCAGTGGAGACTCGTTTTTTTACGTCAAACGAGTCTCCACTGCGCGGCACAATCTTAGTCCGTGGTTAGAACATAATGTAGGTACGAAGTATTTAAAACGACTTCCATATCTGCATGCTTATAAAGTATAAACAGTAAAGCCTGGGGCCCCCAGGTTGTATGGAATATGATAAAATACGCCATTTTCTTGTTGAGAACGAGAATTTGGCCATTTTCGTCGGGACTCGTGATCCCCCCACAATAGCATTAAATCTGTGGCTTGCTACTGGTGCCAGCCTGCCCAGTGCCTTATCACAACCACAAGCTATAAGTTTGATAGGTTAACGCGTGGACTATTCTCAGATATTGAACCCTCGATGCTCAGAGCATGCACATCCTGAGGATTGAGCTACCATGGCCATGGTTATGGACCTATGCTATGGTTCAACCGATTTCTTTGTTATATCTTTAGTCTCCAAGCATGAGAGCAATAAAATTGTAACATCGGAGCAAAGCTTATCTGGTGCTCTTATTCTTCTTGTTTAAAGCTTCAAGTCAGCTTGAATAGATGTTATTTATTTAGGAAATAAAATTTGTTTATGAAATATTAGATTTGTTTGGAGAGGCGAATCATACACAGTTTAGGCTCTTGAATTCTTCGAATAAAATATAATCTTTAGAGAACCTCCTGAATAGAATTAAGTTAGACTCATACTTAGGTGGAACAAAACAGCCTTAAAAACAAGAATTAACTATTTATGTACTAGAATAAATCTTTGTTCAGGATTCGGCCACTAGGACTTATAACTATAAGAATGTGTTAAGTTATAGTTGTTTATGACAATTATTATATTTAATATATAATATTAATAAGTATTTAGGGCTCTTATATTATATTCGTGTCTGCCAACTTTTATTTTTTTAAATTTTTAACAGTTTTAGGGTCCTTTATTAATTTTTGATGTTATTCTATATTAAGCTTTCTGGTGTATTCGTGTAGTGTTATTGAGTCTCATGATTTGATGTTTCTTTCATTCAAATTTCTGATTGTTTCTGAATAGACTCAGTGAAGACAGATTATAATGAAAATAAATAGCTGAATAACGTATACTCATATTCTCTAATTATTTGTTATATAGCATAGTGTTGAAAGTAATAAAATTGTAACTTTATATAAAAACTTTTAACTTGGCGGCCAAATTCTGAAACTTTAAAACATTTTATGACATGTCGTGTGTCGTTTGATGATGCCATGTAGTCCACAATTTTAGTTCCATTTTATTGGTGTGACGTCAATTCGCCAAATATTTCACCTAGAGTGGATCCATTTAGGATAGACATGTTACAGCTCTGAATTAAGTCTATAAATTTTTTACCCCGGTCATTGACGGGGGTCTCATTGACGACAGGGTCTCTGCTTGCTCGTTGTTTGTGGTAAGAAGGGTAGGACTCGATTTGACCTGCTGTGAACTCCTCATTGCAGGGCTGAACTGTTTCATCAAAAAAGGATAGGTTAACGCATGGACTATTCTCAGATATTGAACCCTCGATGCTCGGAGCATACACATCTTGAGCAGTGAGCTACCGTTGCCATGGTTATGGACTTATGGTTCAACCGGTTTCTTTGTTTTTAGTCTCCAAGCATGAGAGCAATAAAATTGTAACATCGGAGCAAAGCTTATTTGGTGCTCTTATTCTTGTTGTTTAAAGCTTCAAGTCTGCTGTCAGCTTGACTAGATGCTA